ATTTATTATAAATTTATTATTTTTCATAAAATAATTTAAAATATTAAGTATTTTTTTTGATTAATTATATATAATATAATATTAATCTTTATATAATTCAAAATATTAATAATTTAAAAAAAAGTTAGTAATCTATTTATAAAAAATTTTATTTTAAAAGATTTTTTATTTCTTTTGACAAAGAAAGTAATCATTACTAAATCATCATAATTAGAACTAAAGATTTTAAGAATTCTTATTAAAATCAATAAAAAAAATTTCTATTTAAATTTAAAAAAAGAAAATTATATAATAAAATTTAATTTTTTAAAATTTCTTTAATAAGTTTAAGTTAAAAGAAGAGAGATAAAATTATTAACTTCTTAATTTACATAAAAATTTTCAAAGTAACTTTTGATTCAATAAATAATTAAAAATTTTTAATCACATGATAAATCAAAATTCAAATTGTATAATTTAAAATTTTTTCTTTAACTTTTATAATAAGAGATTCATCTTTAATAAAATTTTTAAAATTATAAATAATTATTTAAAAATTATTAGAGATGATCTTGATGAATATAATAAATAAAGTAAAATATGTAATTTTAAATATTAATAGAAAATTTATAATTGATATTAGAAAAAATTAAATAACTTAATTCAAATCTATTCAAGATTTATTTTACAATTATTAAAAGTTATATTAATTAGAGAACTATCTATATAAAGTAGAAGATAATATTTATATTATAACTTTTACTAAAAACATAAATTTATCTTAATATAAGCTTTTTATAATATAAATTTTAATTAAATTTTCATTAATAAAAGAAGTAATTATAAAAAAGTTAAATATTTATAAAATAAAGATCTGTGCTTTAATGAATCTAATATTTGAAATTATATTTATTTTTAAGTTAATAAAGATGTAAAACTCTTAAATTTATATAAATTTAATATAATATGATTTAGTCTATCAGAATAAGTTTTAAAAAACTTCTTAATAATAACAATTTTATTTATCTTTTATTAATAATATATAAAATATGAGAAAGAGAAAATCTAATCTTTTTTATATTATTATACATCTTAAGAAAAGGTGGTCTATTGATTACATATTTATTATGATATATAATAATTTTGATTTAAAATTAATTAAAAAATCAATATATTTTATTTATTTATATAATATACAAGAATATATTAAATATACAAATTTATTATTTAAAATATTTAAAAAAATAATTTTATTATTTTTATAATTTATAATTAGTTTTAATTAGAATAAATAATAGATAAATTTGAAATTTATTTTTAAATATTAAGCTTAATTTCTATGATTAAATTACTTTATAGTAAAAAAAAATTATTTTAAATATATCAATTTTTTTTAAATTAAAGATATATTATAATCTTTTTAAGAAATAAATTTTAGTATAAATTAAATCCTAATTTTTTTTATCTAATATTAAATTTAATTTTTAACTATTTAAAAATATAAAGTATTTAAAATATTTAATAATAATAGACTTATTAGATAATTTTATCCTAATTTATTTAAATATATATATTAAACTTTTTAGACAAATTTTTATTTAAAAAGATAATATTAAAATTAAAAAAATAATTATAATAAAGTATTAATTATTTTTAAATGATAAATTTTATTATTTTATTAGACATTTAATAATATCTAATAATTAATATTTTAAAAAAAAATAATTTGCTAATTTATGATTATTTTATAGTTCTTTTAAAATATCAAATAGAATAAATTCTAATAAACAAATTATTTAAATAGTAACTATTCAAAAAAAAAACAGATTATTATTATAAAAATAGGATAAAAAATAAAAATAATAAATAAACATTTGAATTTCTAAGTTTTAATAATAAGTATAGCAATTTTATTAGCTTAAAGTATTTTAAATATACCTATTTATTATAAAAATTATGATGCAAAAAATTGTTTATTATCTATTGTTTTAAATTTATTAACTATTATTGTTTTAATCTTATTATAAAGAATATTTTAATATTACTTAATGATAAATGTAAATAATGTTTTAATTATTTATCAAAAAATATTCTAACAAATATTGTATTACTAGTTAAACAAAAGATTACTTAAAGTATTAAATGATAATGAATTATTTGAACTTATAAAAATGAAACTCTCTTAAAACAAGCAGAACATAGTATAGATAATCAATATAAAATTTTATATAATTATAATAGAAAATTTTAATGCTAAAAATTTCAAGTTTAATTAATATGTAAAATCTTGCAACACATATTATTATTCCAATCAGAGTTAGTTAATAAAAAAATAAATTTAAAACGTCATTTTTAGATGTCATAAAAATGAATAAATCGTCGCATTACGCGATCGCTATGTTTAACCGTGATACAATTAATAATTTCATCAAGCCAAAATCAGAAGGATATACAAAAGATAACCCCTGAACCAAAAACTATAAATCGGAAATGTAAAGAGAACTCGATATGCACCTAACTTTTTTTCTTTTCCCTTTCGATTTGAATCATAATGTATTCGTATTTATTACATTTGTTTGTCATCTCGCTTCTATTCATTAATAATGTTTTAGCTTACGGATATGTTGGTCATGAAATTACTGCCGTCATTGCTCAAAGGTTTCTCACTCCAGAAGCAAGAAAAAATGTACAACTACTTCTTCCTAAAGAAGCAAAAGGGGATCTATCTTTGTGAGTTTATTAAAAAAAAAAATGAATTTTATTGAATTATTTTTTTTTTTCCCAAATAAATCGCTTTTCCCCTATTCAGCATCGCATCATGGGCCGATAGAATAAAATATACGCCAGAATATAAATTTACTTCGAGAATGCATTTTATTAACTCACGAAATGACAATCCTCCAAATCAGTGTTCTGCTATGTATAGACCGGGAAGAGTTGATTTACTAAATGCTATACATAATTATACCAATCGTTTAGATCCAAACAATGATTTGGCTTTTTGGCCTAGGGCTGAAGCATTAAGATTTCTTGTGCACTTTATTGGAGACTTACATCAGCCTTTACATGGTAAATACGAATAAAAGAAGGAAAGGAATAAAAGGAAGAAATAAAAAAGCAAAAGAAAAAATTTTTTTTTTAAATTTATTTTACTCCAAAAAAAATTAAATAAAATTTTTTTAGCCACTGGAAAGCTCAAAGGTGGAAATGGTGCAAAAGGTAATAATAATAAATACATTTTTTCTTTAAAAAAATATAATTTTTATTAATTTTCTTAATAAAAATAGCAATATTTGAAGGTCATAAAACCAACTTACATTTCATTTGGGATTCGAGATTAATTAATGTAAGTAATTCAAAAAAATATTCAATATGAATTCGTTATAACTTTAAAAAATAAAAAAATTTTGTAGAAGCATATAAGGGAACTTAATCAAACCTTCTCAAATGACGATCAAAACATTACAAATGGTGGCCGTTTTTATGATCCATACGTTAGAAATATTTTAAGATTAATGAAATCAGTTTGGAAGCAAGAAGTATCCGAATGGATTGTTTGCAATAAAGTAGCATATACTTTTGAAAAAGAAACGCAGGAATTATTTAATTTTAATACATTTGATAATAATCGTAATAACAATAAACAAATTCACCTTGGATTGAATTCGCAAGAAGCATATTCTTCTTTAGAGAAGCAATATCCTTCAGTATCTTGTCCTGAAATTTGGGTTATTCCAATAAATAAATTAAATTGTCAAATAGTTTGGAACGGTTATAAACCCGAAATAGAATTGGATGAAGGTGAGTATTATGAAAGAATCAAACAAACTAAAATCGTTGAAAAATTATTAGCAGTTGGTGGGATTAGGATTGCTGCTGTGTTAAATAGTTTATTGGGATAAACTTGACTTATTATATTATATTATAAATAAATCATTCTTTAATAATTTCTTTTTTTTGTATAAATAGAGTTTGATTCTTGAAGAAATTAATTTTATTCGAATTTTTTTTTTTTGTATCTTAAAATGTGGTACCGCTGTAAGTTTATTAAAGTTTTATAGTTTTAAAAGATTCTAAGAAAAATACAGTTAAAGAAAACAACATTTGTTTTAACTTGGTAAATAGATCAGTTAATTTTATAAAAATCTCTTTTTTTGAATTAGTATAAAGGATATTCAAATTGCCGAATATAATTATGCAAAATAGAATGCATTACATACAAAGTATGAATAGATTTCTTTATAGGTAAACTTACTATCAGTATATTCCTATGCTTTGTTATTTGATAAGAAAGAATACTACCAGCAACATCTATATTAAGAAAGCTTCAGGTTTAATTGACTCATTGAAGCTTTTGACTGGATGTGGATGTACCTTTAAGGCAATGGATTAGTAAACATTCTAAATCTGATGAAGTCAGTTGCACGAACTTTTGACCAAAAAATGATCTCGCTCGTATAAAAGTTGCAAATATCCTCGAGAAATTACTGTTAAGTGGCATCTTGAGCGTGTGAGGATGGAGATTACCGTCATTTTTTTTATCGCGATCTGGCGTGCATTTCTGGCTTCAAAAATGTTAAAAAATGTTGAAAAGTGTGAGATCGCAAATCCCATAATGTATTTGAAATATATTAAGGAGATTTATTCACGTGATCAGGGCATGAGCCAATATCAAAATTATCCATGTGACAAATAATAGAATTTTTCAAATCTAAAAATGGAAAAACAGAGGGTGACAAATTTATTTAATTTAGAACAATATCGCGTGTATTTTTTTTTTTTTTTTTAAAAAAACAAACAAACAAACAAATGTAAGTAAATAAAAACGTTACCTTTGCGTGTCTGTTTATTTCCAAATAATTATTTTCTTTCTCTAAAACTCCAACCTTTAAATTTTCTCAAATTTATTCAAGTTATAGCAAAGATTATTTTATTTTAAGATCACTACGCTCTTTTTTTTAGAGAGTTTATTTTTTAAAAAATATAAAATCACGAATAAAAAATAAAGAAGTTTGGTCAAGATGAATCAATTATCGATGCCTCTTTCGATGCCTCGTTCCTTTAACAGCTTTTATAATCCATCATTATACGCATTACACGATAAAAGACAAGTCACAACTACTACGTTAAATTCTCCTTTATCTGCCTTTCCAAGCTTTGATTATAGTAACGATAATTCAAAATTTGTGGTAAATTACAATATAAATGTACTTTTTCTCTAAACAATTTCAAATAAATTTTATCATTAATTCGCGAAATATCTTTTTTTTCCCTCCTTTCATTACTAGAGATATGAATCTAATGAATCTAGCGATATGGATACCCTTATTAGTAACATGCAAGATGATCATAGTTTTGGTAGTGTTGACGTTGATAATCGTGACGAAAATTTCGATGAGGGTAATGGTATCATGAAGATAGAACGCCACTTAATTGAGGATCACAAGAAAGACAATAACATATGCGACAAGGTTGTTACAAAAACCAGCGATGCAAATGCGAAGAAAATACGAAAAAATAAATTTCTTTGCAATACGCCTGGTTGCCAGAAAGTATTTCTCTCACATCGAGGTCTTCAAGTGCATAAAAAGGTACATAATGTCACATGTAGTGAAATAAACTGCGGAAAAAAATTTTCAAATGCGAGGGGCTTGCTAAATCATATGAGGATTCATAGCGTGAGAAAATCCAATCCCGTTCAAAGATCATACAGATGTAATTGGCCAGGTTGTGAAGATAGATTTTCGAAGAAATATACTTTAAAAATGCACTTGAGAGTACATACTGGTGAAAGACCATTCGAGTGTGAATGGTCAGGTTGTCACTGGAGATTCGCAAAGTTATATAATTTGAAATGTCACGAGAGAACCCATACTGGAGAAAAACCTTTCAAATGCACTTGGAACCTTTGTGAAAAGATATTTGCCCAACAGCTTACCTTAACTGAACATTTAAGAGTTCATAGGGGAGAAAAACCTTACGTTTGTAATTGGTCAAATTGCGGAATGAAATTTACACGTAAATCTGGTTTAAAAGTCCACAAAAGGACTCACACTGGAGAAAGACCATACAAATGTGATTGGGCGAATTGTGAAAAAAATTTTTCACACTTATATACCTTAAAATGTCACAAGAGAATTCACACTGGAGATAAACCATATAATTGTGAATGGAAAGGCTGTGATAGAAAATTTTCCCATAAAAGCAACTGTAAACAACACTTGAGATTTCATACTGGAGAAAGACCATATAAATGCACTAAACGGGGATGTGAGAGAAGATTCGCTCGAGCTTATGCATGTAGAAAACATGTAATGAATTACCATGGTAATCCATACAACGTCGCATCGAAAAATAGAATCATTTTTCGTCATAAATGAGCAAGAATTTAATTTTTTTTTTCTTTGATATAATCACAATAATTAATTATTTTCTAAATAATTATTTTCTTTGCTAGATAAATACATAGATAATTACATTTATTTTTATTTATTTATAAAAATAAATTAGTTTAAATAAAAAAGATATATTAAATATAAAAGATCAAAATGTAATATTTTTAATATCAGGTTTAATTATGTAATGTGATTATAATATTTGTTAGATTATTTTTTTTATTATGAAATCTATTATTAAAAGTATCTTTTATAAAATAAATAATACTTAAATACTGAACATCAAATTTTAGGATGATTTTATCTGAAATTTACTTTCTTAAGTTTGCAAGACAAATTACTGAAAGTTATTAGTTTTCATATTTCTTTTAAACATTTTAAAGTTTTTATAGGAATTGATGATTTATAATCACAAAATAAATTTCATCCTATATTTGTCATATCTAAGTTATCTTTATTAAATTGTGTTTTTAAATTTAATCTAAATTATCAAAGCTGAATTAATCATAACTATTCCAATAAACATTTTTCATTATAACAAAACTGATATACAGTAGCGATCATAAGTATTTGATCTCTCATAATTCTTAAAGTTAATTAATAATACTCATTAAAATTTTCTAAAATTTAAGTATAATACTAATGCTGATCATATGTAAAATATAAGCTTATATAATATATAAATCAAAAATTAGATGATCAATAAATTTTGATTGTAAAATGCCAATATTTTTTAATAAATTAAACAAAATAATTTTTTTATATAAATTTTAATAATAACTGAAATATAATTTTAAAAATATTGCTACTTTATATCTATTGTAATAAAATTATGATATTTATTATATTTTAAAATTATCATTTAAATAAAGATTTTAATAATAAACAAAAGTTATAATATTTAAAGTTCATATTATAGTGATTTTTCAGATTTACGATTTGATAAATCAATTTTCTTTTAGCAAATATCTGATATTAATTTTACATATAATTCTATAAAAGTGATCTTTTGACTTATATCTGTAAATTTTTAGAAAAGATAACTTAGAATAAATTTAACAAATAATTAATAAATATAAGTATTATTCAAAAATTAAAAGGAAGAATACAGTATTATTAAAGTTCTCTAATTATCTATGTAATCTGTTTAAAATTTTATAAAAAATGTGTAATAACTCCTAAAAAATTAATATATTAAAAAAAAATCTATATATTTAAGGAATTTAAGTATTAAATAATAAAAAATGTAATTATTTACATAAAAAAAAGTCATTTTTTTAAAACATAATATCTACTGTTTATCTAACTTCTAAACTATATATAATATAAATCTATAAGTTTACAAATTATCAAGGTTAGTATTGAACTTAAATTTAAAAAAAAATTTAATAGATATTATTAATTAACTTTATGAATTATGAGAGGTCAGATACTTATAACCGCTACTGTAAGGATAAATATCATCATTAATTATTTAAAATTAATTCTTCAATTTAAATAATATTTTAAAGTATTACTTTTCTGCTAATTTGGCACTAAATATACAAAATTAATATCAAAAATTCCAAAATTACAAAAATAGCTATAATAATACTACAATATAAAATAATACTAAAAATCCTAAACTAGCAGAAGTAACTTTTAATTCTTCAATGGTATCACTTAGATTATTATTATAATACAATGACATATAACAGATAGCACTTTTTTTGACTAAAATTTTACTATTATAATAGTAATTCTAGTAATCCAAAGGTTATTTTAACAATTATTTGTAAATGCAGTTAATATAACTATTATGAAATATTTTTATTTATTTTCATATTAAAGAATTATATTAATTAAAAGGTTGTTAATTTTATATTTTTCTCTTATAATGTATTGACAATAATGAGAATGTTTTTTTATATACTCATTCAGAAAAATATAATTTATGATTTATAGGTAATGTTTAGCATTTAACATGTTTTAAATCAAGTCAATTCAATTATTACTGTTTGTAGTAAATTTTTTTTATTTGATTAGATTATAGCTTTAAAAGGTGAAAATTTAATTTTTATGCCTAATTAAAAACTTTTTTATTTTATATTTTATTGGATTTTAATCTGCAAAACTTTTTTTCTAAAGTAGTGATATGTATTTTATGACTCTAATAGTATAAAATGTGATTAGAAACTTTTAATTCAAATAAATTTATTAGAGAATTACACTTTCAACTCTTTTAAAGGTATTTCTAAGAATGTTTCTAATCTTTTAAGTGTATATCACTATCTTAGAGGATATGACCTATTATAAAAAAGTAAAAAAAATTATGATCAATAAACTGTGTAGAAATTAAAAAAAAGTAAAAAATATATAATTAAAAATAAATAAATTCTAATTTAACTATCAAATTTTATTTTTACTACTTATATGAATACTAGATAAAAATAAAAATAAAATAAAATGAAAATTATTTTTTTTTTATTATTTCAATTATAAAATAAAGTAAATAAAAATAAGTAAAAAGTAGTATTATTTCTCAAATGATTCATCTCTGATTTTAATTCATTTAATATTTCTTTTTTAACCAATATAATCAATATATATCATATTTCTTCTTTAATAATTTATTATCTTCAGCTCCAGTTGGCCAAATAATATCTGGCTTAATAAATGATAAATAGTGTTTCATATTCTTTAAATAGCCTAATCAAAATCTATTAGTAACTTTTTTTTTGATAACCAAGATTTTAGAGTCACAAAGGTTTATAAAAATAATATTATTGTAGTGTAAATAAATGACAGTCTTATTAATATCATTAATAATTCCTTTATAATCTGATTAAACTAACCCTTATAATCATATAATATCTAGTTATCAATAAATTCTATAATTATCATATAAAATTTATATTATATATTTGAAAATAAATAGCTTTAGTATCTTTTCAATTTTATAGCACAAATCATGCATATTTTAGTAGTATTATTTAATAATAATCATCTCTTTGTTTTTATTTCAGCCTTCTAAGAAGCTTGTACAGATCATTAAAAAAAATTTCTCCTTATTATTGAATTTAACTATTATTTATTTACTAATTGAAATAAAAGATTAGATAAAATTCTTTATAATATATTTTTAGATTATCACATATTATATATAAGGCTACAATAATTTTTGCAATTTTCTTTAAGTGAATTTGATTATTCATAGAAATGAAAGATATAAAGCTTGTTAAGAGTCCAATAATTAGTTTTTTAATATAAATAGTTTCTAATTTACATATATAAAATACTATAATAAAGTATGGCATATTACATCATTTAAGATCATTTAAGCATCTTTTAATTTTTACTTACTTTATATAGGAAATGTCACCTGAATAGTAAAATCATATTTACTAGTGCTGATTTCATTTTTACTCTAATAAAAAGGTATAGTATGCGCTTTATGTATACATTATATTTTAAAATTCTATTGTATGAATATATATTATCAAACTGAATATCTTTACTTCTCGCAATAAAATTGACATCTTTTAGGCCTAATATTACTATTTTCATAAACTTTTCTGGTATTGCAAAAAAATGAACAAGAATATTCATTGATTATTCTACTTTTTTATTACTAGAATTGAAAAGATTAATTAATAATTAGTTAATGCTTCAGTTTTGTAATAGCTAGAACTGCTTCAGAAAGTTTGTAAATACTTATCTTCAGTAGAATTTTTATGATCAAAAAGTGAAATAATTAATTAAAGAAAAATTATATAAGCAAGTAATAGCATAATGATTAGAGCTAACTAATATACCAAATATCTGATGCTTACCTAGAATATATAGAAAAATTTAGTATAGAGATAGCTGATTTTAATCTGATTAGTCCTACTGCTTATATACCTTTGCCTGAAACTTTGCTGAAATATAATAACAGAATTATTAATATTTAAAATAATAATGATTGGTATTTCAAGTGGAGTATTCTAGGAGCTTTACATCCTGTAAAGTTTATCTAGAGAGAAATTCATATTGACTATATAGAACTTTTATGAAAAAACTTAATATGAAAAACATCACAATTCCAGTGCCAGTCTCAACACCAGTTTATAAGAAGTTTTAAGAAAATAATCTCAAAATTAGTCTTTGCATTTATGAATGGCATAATTAAAATAAATGTCTTGAATTTCGCTATATTTCAGAGAGAAGAGAGAAAGAATATAAGCAAGTAAATCTTTTGGTAATTACAGAAAAGAAAAGAAGTCATTACTGTATATTCAAAGATTTACATAGCTAGTATATAATTATAGCAAATATAAAGGATAAAAATACCTGTGCTAATATTGTCTTCATGTATATTCTGCAGAGAAAGGATTAAAGAAGCATATATCAAAATGCAAAAGTTTAAATAATACTCTTTAGCAATCTCAAATGTTAGTAAAAAATAGAAGGGTCAAAGTTATAAATACATGCAATTAAATCCATATTGTATTTTCTAAGATTTAGAAATATTAATCAAAAAAGTTAACCTTAAAAGAAAAAACAAAATTAATCTATATTGAAAGAATACAGAAGTATAGGCTATGTGATTATTGCTATGTAGTTATTTGTATAGATAATTCACTTAACTATGAGATTATAAGTCATGATCTATATAGAGATTTAGATACACTTAAAAGATTCGTTACAAAAATTGAAAAGGAGCAAGCAAACATATAGGAAAACTTATCTACATTAGCTGAAATAATTTTAGCACCAAGTGATCTGAAGGCATATAAAGAAGTAACTAAATGCTGGATTTGTAAGAAACCTTTTATCAAGCTATCACAAAAAGCATTACAAAAATTTGAAGCAAAGCATAGATTATTAGAAATTAAAGAATGAGAATCATACATAGAAAAAGAGCATTCTAAAAAGAAAGAGGTATAGAAAAGATACTAAAAAGCTTTAAATACACTTAATCAAATAGTAAAGGATTATGATCATATAAATAAAAAGTACTGAGGTCCTACTCATGACTTTTGTAATAAAAAGTTACGCATAGATTCTTTTGAAACTAAAATACCTCTAATTTATTATAATTTCTGGAAGTATGACTCTCATCCACTTATGAAAGTTATGAGCAAGTTCACAGCTGATAAGCTAAATTGTATTCCTGAAAATATAGAAAAGTATAAGGCTATAGATATTGATCAGTTCTGATATTATAACAGTTTTCAACATATGAGAATAAAACTTGATAAATTAGTTAAGTGCCTAAGAGAAAAGCTTGAAAAATATTCCTTAACTGTTAAGCACTTTACTAAGAAAGGTTATTTAATAGATAAAATTAAGCTTCTTTTCTAAAAGGATATATTTCTATATAATTGGACAAATGCATGGGATAAATTCAATAGAATAAGCCTTTTATCTAGAAAGAATTTCTATTCAATTTATAGTTAGCAAAATATTAGTAAAGAGGATTATGAACATGTGCAAAAAATATGGCAAACATTTGAAATGTAAAGTTTTAGAAAGTATCATAATCTTTATCTCAAACTAATATACTTTTACTTGCAGATATTTTCATGAACTACATTATTATGTGCTTAAAAGATAATGGCTTAGATCCTTCTCATTATATATTTATACTAGAAATATTTAATAATTCTTTATACAAAAGTAGTAAAGTTAAACTCAAGTACATGATAAATATGGATAAGTACTTAATGATTGAGAATGGTATATGTAGAAAGATGATAATGGCAAGTTACTGATATACTAAAGCAAATAATCCACAGTATTCTAACTATGATTTTAGTAAGCCAAAGTCCTATATCTTATATAATGATATAAATGCCTTATATTTAAGAGTAATGACCTAATACATGCCTACAAAAATCTTGGTTAAAGTAGATCTAAAAGAAGTTTCAAATATCTAAAGTATTACGTTAGATGCAGAAATAGGCTATACACTTGAAGTTGATTTAAAAGCTCTAATATATTTACATGATTTCTTTACAAACTATCTATTAGCATCAGAAAAGCAGGTAGTTTCAGAAAATTAGCTTAGCTTATATAATGAAAGATTAGTATATGATAAAGAAATTTGACAAATACACATTTGGAGAGAAGTTAGTTCAAACCCTTTTTATTAAGAAGAATTATATAGTTTACTATTGAGTTCTTTAGATATATATAAAATTCAGAATAAAGGTTATAAAGATTTATAGCGCTCTTAAGTTTAGACAATCTTTATAGATAAAGAAATATATTGAAGAAAATATTTGTAAATATAAAATAGCTAAGGCATATAGAGATAAGTTTGAAGTTATATATTATATTAAAAAACAATGTAATATTTGACAAATAGATGGAAAATATTCAAAAATATATAAGAGTAGAACTACTTTGAATAGAAGAGAATAAAAAGTTAGGTGTCTAACAAGTTCTCTATTATTTGTGAGTTTCAAACAATTTGAAAGAGGAATTATAGCCATTCATATATTAAAAGATATAGTAATCTTAAATAAGCTATCTATATAGAGCAAGCAATTCTCAACATTAGTAAAGCTATGATATTCAACTTTTGGTATGGTTATATAAAGCCTCACTATGAAGATAAGTCCTATTTACTTTATATAGATACAGACTCGCTTATTATGTGAATAGAAACTGAAAATATATATAAAAATCTAGTGAAAAGACCAGATATTTTTGATTTAGACTATTCAGGAGACTTATTTCTAATGAAAGATAAAATAAAGGGTATATTTATTAGAGAAACAGTATGCTTAAAACCAAAAATGTATTCTGTTCTTCTAGTTAAACATGATCTAAAAACGTATGATGACCCAGATTCTGAAGACTTTAAAAAGAAGCATGACATTCAAAAGGCAAAGGGTATTAAGAAATGCGTGGTCAAAAGTGAGCTTTAATATAACAAGTTCTTAGAATTTCTTAGAAATAAGAAACTAACTCAGCATAATATATATGGTTTACACAGTTATAATTATTAAATATATTTAGAGAGAGTAAATAAGATAGGGCTAAATTCATATAATAATAAGTGTTAGATCTTATTTGATAAAATTCAAATCCTTTCATATGAACATTAGTGAATTGGGTTATATAAATGCCTACTAGCATTTAAAATATCTTCTAAAGAATCAGAAGAAAGGGCTATAAAAGTTAAACTTTATATCAAGGTATAAATGCTTTATAATAAATATTTTTTTGGGTAGAAAAAATTCTAAAGAATATATTTTCATTAATTAAAGTTTTTTTATTGCTATAGTAGAAACATAAAAAATAGTTAATCATAAGAATATAGAACTTGTACAAATCAAAGTCATAAAAACTGCATTGCAAAAGGGTAAAAAATATGATAATCTTACAAAAAACTATAGAGACTATCTAAAGAAATTGTGAGCTGAAAGAATCTGAATAACTATATTAATACAGTCACAGTTAAAATATTTTCTAATGAAGAGATATATATTCTAAGGCTAGAAAATTATCATAAAAGATATATAGATAATAATCTATATACAGTCAACTCTTGTTATAACGAACTCTATATTCTAGACTTTAACTTTGCTATAAGGTTATAGTGAAGATTTTAAGAGATTTGATTAGCCAATTTGCTATAATATAAGTATTTTTATTATATTTGTTCAAAAAATTCGTTATATTAAGAGTTCGCTATATTAAGAGTTAACTGTACCAGCCTAGAGGAATTATATGAGCTTTATTATCAATAATTAAGAAGAAGAATTTCGAAAGGTCAGATGATAAAATAGAGTAGGTATTCAAAGTAATAAGAATCTAGTCATCTTTGGCAAAGCTTTTTACTAAGTTATTTTTCTGATGCAATAAATATTCAGTTATAGAAAAATACTTTCTAAAAAATATCACATATATTTAGAAAAAGAAAAAATAAACACTGTTGAAGATATCAAGGAGTCTCTTATAGATTTAGAATATGGAATAACTAAAATACACTAAAATCTTAAAGTATTTACTAGAAAATCTATTTTTTATATAATATTATGTTATCCTTTAAATTATACGAGCTCAGTTTATCTAAAAAAAATAGAGGAGGTAGATGAATGCTATTAATCTAAAAATAAAAAGGTCAAGTATAGACAGAGACCTTAGATCATAGAATAGATTAATTGAATCGAATAAACTATCAGGTATAGCTAAAAAATCAAGAAATAACAAATGTAAGACTACAGGTAAGTTTATTACTAACCCTATGCAATATTTGTTACTATATAATCCAGCCAAATATAAACATACATATGATAGAATAACTGGCTTTATCACTGTCAAAAATATAAAATAAGACAGGATTATAGGTATGTTTGATTATCCTAAGCTATGTGAATATCTGAAGTTAGGTGCTCATCATTAGTATTATTTTTTGATTAAAGATATAGGTTTATATAATAAAGTATAGAATTTAATATCAATTTGCATAATATGAAAAGTTTAGATGATATTATAGAAAATGCGAATAAAAATATTAAAAAGATGTTTCTAACAAGGGTTGCATCTGAATTTTGACAAGAAACCTATATAATTGATCTTAAATTAACATTAGATAGATTGGTATGAGAGCTACATAAGTTAAATGATGTCAATTTGGGAATTGATAGGATATTCGAATGATATCCTATTAATTTCTGATTTTTTTTATTAGTGATCATTTGATATATACTGAATAATGTTAAATGATGGCCCATAATCAGGACCCATTAAGAAGTCATTCAGTGTGAAATAATTTTGACATTATTCGGTATATAATTCAGTATACTGAATGATTACTTTTTTTTTTGTTGTTAACAATTATTGGTATATACTATTTATAAATGATTTGTTATTGAATGATATTAAAAAACAATTACTCAATAAATTTATTATACGATTTGTATTATTATATTACAAATATAATTATATATCGTTTACATTCATTATAACAATAGAAACTATAAAAAAAGGATAAATGGAGACTGCATCACAGAAAAGGTGGACATCAATAAAGAAAGAAGATATAAGGAGTTGAAAAGTACTAATACAAGGAGTAAATAATTAAATGATTAAAAAAATCAAAACTGAAAAAAATATAGATATAACGATCAACTCATACATTACTTATTCATTGTCAGAAGGGTATCTTGAAGTTACTTTGCCTAATTTATTTCAGAGCATAGGTGGATCACTAAATTGTACAGAAATAGTCTGATTTGATAGCTGTACAGGAGTAGTCGGGCAAGATAGTTGTATGTCAGAATACCATTTGCTGCAGGATTCATCAACGCATTGTTTCAAGTATCTATTATATCTAGCAATAGTCTATACAGAAGCTCTAAATGAAATTTCTTCAGTTGTATTAGGTATATTATCATGAATTCATTTTCGTGACTGGGTAGCCTTAGATATTTTTTTAAATAATCTATCAACATAATCTCGTAAGAATTTATGAGCCTAAAAATGATTAGTAAATATCGATTGATATAAACCAAACAGTAATAATAATAATAATGATAATAATAATAATAAACTTACTGTTAACGAACACTAACTAAGGTTTTTGATTCAAATTATTCTCTTACTATTTGGATGATCCAGATCAGTTTTGCTATCTTCATGTGAATGATATTTGTTATCATTTATAATAGGAGAAAGTTCTAATTTTGCAAACTTTTTGATCAATAAATTTCTCTCTTTTTGTAGCCGTTCGATTACTTTAACTTAACGCAACCTTTTCTGCAATCGTATAAAATAATAATTAGTAATGAAATAAATATAATTAAACTATCAATTAATCATTTACTTTTCTGACACGTGCATTTTTGTGATGACGTCTTGATTGTTGGTCTTGTTCTTTGTTGGTTTTTTGTTGTAGGAGGTACAATTTCTTTGATATCAGTGACGTTTATGTATTATTTTGTATAAAACGTTATCTTTAATTGGAAATGTACTTTAGTTAATACTTACTTGGACGGTCAGAATAATTGTCCTGTTCATCAAGTTACACTACAATTTGAACATTTTTTTTATATTCAATTGGCAATCTTCTGGTATTACTTTAATAATTCTAAATACTTTTCTCTAAACAATTTAAATTTATACCAGTTACTAAGAATGTGAATAGATATATAGAAAATAACATTTGTTATCCTTAATACTATCAGAAGCTCCTTATCCATATTTGAAGTATATAAATATCTTGATGTTTTTTGATGACTTGGTGGATCAGAACTTCCTGAACTTATACTACTTATTGAATTAGAATGGTGATGCCTTTTCTTTTTGCGTTTGGTATGCCTTTTCGCATATAATTATATTTCTTATTCCTTTTTAGTATATATATTTTTTTTATTAGAACATCTGAACTATCCGAACTAAGAATAATTGCCTCATTAGAACTATTACTAGTAGAATGTGAACGAACATTAAATGATTTGCACTGGTCGAAATCAAAAAAATTGGACATGCAAAAATCAGCCTAAAATCAGCTTAAATTGACCTAAAATCGGTCTAAAATTGGCAAATTATCAAAAATCAGCCTAGCTGATTAGTATACATCAGAAATCGGCCAAGAATCAGCCAAAATTTGACCTATCTTATTTATAACCAATTGACGTCTGATTAGAATGGTTGCACTGTTCCTTAGGGATAATAGTATTATCGTTCTTTAGGGATGATGCATTTATTGTTCCTTAGGGATGATGGTATTATCGTTCCTAAGGTACGATGGTATTATCGTTTCTTAGGAATGGTATTATCGTTCCTAAGGTACGATGCATTTATCATTCCTAAGGTACAATAGTTTTATCGTTCCTTAAGGATAGTTTTATCATTTCTTAGAAACAATGGTATTATCGTTCCTTAGGTACGATGCATTTATTATTCCTAAGGTACGATAGTTTTATCATTTATTAGGGACGATAGTATTATCGTTTATCGTTTCTAAGAACTAAACTTTCAGATTTAACTGATTGCTAAAATAATATTGATTTAATGTGTACTATTTGAGTTTATTTCTGGTATATAGGAATATTTA